ATTATAGGGTGGAATATATTATAGGGTAGAATATTTTGGTGGAATATATTATAGGGTGAAACAATCTGATTCAAAATAAAAACAACCACAACAGACCAATATGCTACATCTGATACAAGTGCTGATGACTGCTGCCAATGCGTCAGTCGCAGTCCCAGCCTGCCCAATGCCATGCCGCGTCGAATACAAGCCGCAATGCCCCAAGTCGTGTCGGACACTGAGTCAGATCCTGAACAGCACCGCTGCCTCCCTCGATGGCCTCTCTCCAACTGACATAGCAGACGTAGTCAGAAAGACGTACGAGAATGCACTTGACACCGACCAGATTCTGTCTGGAATCAACAACCCAATGCTGACGAATGGCGTATTGAACAGAGACCCAGTCGACAGCTTCAGGCCGAATGGAAATCCACTTGGATCAGGAAAGGGGAATCCACTGAACCAGAACAACCCAGCCCACCCCGATTACAACAAGTCGCCCAGGAATCCAGAGAATCCACTGAATCCATCAGGGGATAAAAAGAATCCAATGTTACCGAGTTTGAGACAGCCAACTGGTAACCAGAATTACAACCAGAATCAGAATCAAAACCAGAATTCTGGTCAACCTGAATCACCCCCAACTCGAATTCAAATTCCAGTTGCCCGTGTTCCAGTTGTCACCGTCACGGCCACAGTCGTCTCCTACGTCCCACAGACGACGACTACGACGGTGACGAGTCCACCTGTCGTGGTCCACGATAGGCCGCAGGCTGTGACGACCACGTCGACTGAGACGGTGACTCTTCCGCCTGTGGTTGTGAAGATGCCTCCTCAGACACTGGTTCAGCGACTGCCTCAGAAGACAGTCACCAGCTACCAGCACGAGACGGTGACTGAGATGAAGACGCTGGTGCAGCCAGTGGAGCTGCCACGAGAGACATTCACGAGCTACGCCCCAGTGAAGACGGTGACTGAGTCAAAGACGATGACGAGCATCTACCGAATTCCGCCTTGTACGAAGACAGTCACAACGGTCATCACTCAGCCTGCTACGACTGTGATGGTTGTGAAGACGGTTGATGCGCCAGTGACGATGCACGTCCACTCTCCCCAGCGGGTGGAACGAGTTGTCCAAAGCGTAGTTCCATTTCGCCCAGGAGTTGAGAGCGTGGCCATTCCAGGAAGTGGGGTGACCTACGTCCAGAAGGATGGCCGAATATTCCCAGTTCTGTCTGGCTCAGCCCAGAACATCAACAATGTAGTGATCAGTCCCAATCAGTTCAGAGACTACTGCGTATCACACGCAAATGAACCAGTTTGTTTGAATCTGAGGGGTAGTCAGTGCAATTACAGTCGCCCAGCTGATTGCATGTCACAGATGCTACAGGGCAGCTACGCCATTGGAACAGCGAAACAGAACAACACCATTCAGTGCAACACGAATAACGTGAAACTATGTGTGGTGGAGCCAGTTAGAAACAGTGATCAGAGCAACCAGAGTAATCAGACTAATCAGAAGAATAACTCTATTGAAAAAGTATTAGCAAATTACTACAGTCAAATGAAGGATAAGAATAATACAGGTGATACAGATAACACTGACAACAACAATAACAATGATAACAATGATAATAGTAAGAAGAGTGATGATCAATTACAGTTACTGTCATATGAAGAAGTACAGAATCAGATCAGTGGTAAGAAGAATAAGAGCAAGAGCAAGAAGAGTGGGCTATTGGAGAAAGCAAAGAGTTTGTTGATTGGGGAGAATAAGAGTGGATTATTGGATATTGGTGATGCATACAATGAAGGTGATAGAGTTGGATTATTGAGTGATGTGATAGAATAGGGTGATATAATAGAGTGGTAGTAATACAATATAGTGGTAGTAATACAATATAGTGGTAGTAATATAATAGACTGATACAATATAGTAATGCAACACTGTACTGAAATAGCCCTGATGAAGAATAAGGAAAAAGAGGCATCGAGTGACTCAGTAGAAGGAATGGAAACTGAGAAAGAGAGGGAGAAAGAGAACCGTGGTAACGGCAGTGTATTCGACTGGGCCAGAGACAGGTACATTCTGCAGGAGAAGATTGGAGAGGGGACATTTAGCACAGTTTACAGGGCATTGGACGTGAACACGAATGCGAGGGTGGCAATAAAAGCAATCACCAGAACAACTGCACCAGGGAGGATTCTGGAGGAGTTGCAGATTCTGAGGAGACTGGGAGGCCAGTCCCATTGCATTCCACTCCTTGACGTCCTCAGGAAGCACGACCAGATACTGGCAGTGTTTCCCCTGATAAACGCAGTCGAATTCAAGGAGTTCGTGACCAGGGCGTCTGGCAGTGACGTCAGATCGTACATGGCCTGTCTGCTCACTGCAGTGGCCCACGTCCATTCGTGTGGATTCATCCACAGGGACGTGAAGCCAAGCAACTTCGTCTACGACATGGATCAGGGAATTGGGTTTCTGATCGACTTCGGTCTCGTGCAGAAGACACGCGTTGGGAAGCCACGGCCAGCCGAGCCAGAGCGGCCTGTGCTCTTCTTCAGCGCCACCGTTCGGCCAAGCAGGCCGCCTGGCTACTTCGAGGGCGACTCGAGGCCGAAGATGAAGGCGGCCCGTGCTGGAACCAGGGGATTCAGGGCACCTGAGATCCTGTTTCGATACGCGAACCAGGGCCCAGCGATCGACGTCTGGTCCGCTGGCGTCGTTCTCCTTTGCATCCTCTCTGCCCAGTATCCCTTCTTTGTCTCGGTCGAGGACGTCGATGGCCTCGTTGAAATGGCCACGATCTTCGGCCACGCCGAGATGCGTCGGGCTGCCAAACAGTACGGCCGTGTCTGGAAGTGCAACATTGGGACGGTTGGAGAGGATCGCGTCGACTTCAGGGAGATTCTGGTGAAGATGAATGCGGATGCTGAGATCGATGCAGACGCCCTTGATCTGCTGGAGAGAATGCTCGAGTTGGACAACACTAAGCGAATCACAGCCCAGGAAGCACTGTCTCACCGCTACTTTACACGCTGAATAAATTGTAGTAGTAGAGTAGTAGTAATAATAATAGAGTAGCCAGTAATAATAATACTACCCTTATTATACCACTCTTACTATTTACATTACTACTTACTCTACTACTTAGCCCATGCCTGAGGAATTCCTTCAAACAAAAGAGGATGAAAAGTGTCTAAGAATGCTACAGATCAAGGAGGAGTATCTGAAACAGGAGATTGGCGTGCTACGGAATGAGCTGGGACGAGCCAAGGAGGAGATAAATCGCGTCAGAAGTGTCCCACTGCTAATGGGGCAGTTTCTGGAGGCAATTGACAGGAATACGGCAATCGTAAGCAGCTCAGCCTGCACGAATGCGGTGGTGAAGATCCTCAGCACCGTGGACAGGGAGCTGCTCCTTCCAAACACGAGTGTCGCTCTCCATCGCCACAGCTCTGCCATCGTGGACGTGCTTCCTCCTGAGGCCGATACCACAATTCCAGTTGTGGGAGAAGAAGAGAGGCCTGACGTCACCTACGACGACATTGGTGGAATGGACGTGCAGAAGCAGGAGATACGCGAGTGCGTGGAGCTGCCACTGGTGCTGTTTGCTCGCTACAGGGCCATTGGCATCGAGCCACCACGGGGTGTGCTGCTCTACGGGCCACCTGGAACTGGGAAGACGATGCTGGTGAAGGCAGTTGCAAACCAGGCCAAGGCGACTTTCATCAAAGTGAATGGATCCGAATTCATCCAGAAATACCTGGGAGAGGGGCCAAGGATGGTACGAGACGTATTCCGCCTTGCGAGAGAGAAGGCACCTTCGATCATTTTTATTGATGAAATTGATTCGATTGCGACAAAGAGGTTTGACGCATCGACGTCAGCAGACAGGGAGGTGCAACGTGTTCTGATTGAGCTGCTGAACCAGATGGATGGGTTTGATCAGAGCAGCAACGTGAAGGTGATCATGGCCACGAATAGGCCCGATTCAATTGATCCAGCACTGTTGAGACCAGGGCGTCTTGATCGTAAGATCGAGTTTCCACTACCAGACAAAAGGCAGAAGAGGCTTGTTCTGGCAACGATCACGAACAAAATGGCATTGCATGAGGAGGTGGCATTGGAGGAGTTTGTTGGAAGACCAGACAGGCTCAGCTGTGCCGATTTGAATGCAATTTGTCAGGAAGCAGGGATGCTGGCTGTGAGGGCATCCAGGTACGAAATAATGCAATGTGACTTCGAGGAGGCGTACAGCAGGGTTGTAGACAGAAAGGACAGCAAGTTACCACTGTATCACTAACGTGGTATAATATGGTAGTTGCTAGTTACTAGTTACTATACTAATTACTATACTAATTACTCTTACTACCATTCTGCCTATATTCTCTTTAACCTGTAGAATTCCTCTCGTTCCTGTTCGTCTAATTCGGCCTGGATGAATCTCTTCGTGTTTTCCAGTCGCGGTATCAGCAGGTGCTCCAATGAGTTGACGCGTCTGTTGGTGGAGTCGAGGGCGTTCTTCAAAGCAGCGTACGAGTTGCGGACTGAGGCCGTCTCAACCAGAAGCAGAACAAGGTGCTTGAATCTGACACGGGCGTGGGAGAAGTGGGATGCACCGTGGCCATGGACCTCATCAAATTCAAATGTGGTTTCAGCCTGAAAATGAATCAGGGATACGCCTGATATTTTGGTCTCATTTTTAGTCAGTCGAATTGGATACTTCTCAGACTCCTTCACAAACAGATCGACATTGGCACCAAGAAACTGCGCCTTGCTCAGGGAGAGATGGGCGTCACGGAAGAGGCGGCCGATGTCCTGGTTCAGTCTGCGAAACTGCTCCTCGATGCGTCTGAAATGGATGTTCAGGGCATCCGCCTTGGTCTTCAGCAGTCGGTGTCCCCTTGTTGCCGTCTCAAGCCTGTGATTCACCAGTCTCAGATTCATTCGCGTGGCAAATAGTGGAAGTCTCTCACCAGTCATTTGTTTATTTGTCTCACCTGAGTAAACTACCCTTAGATTGGTCAATAATCACAATATTCTCGTAATCACCAGAATGAGCTAACTAAACAGGTCACTGCTTAGGATCTCAGCCGCACTCATTCGATCCATTGGGTTGAATCGGAGCATCTTCATCAAAATTGACCTGAATTCATCGTGTTTGATTTCTTGCAGTTTCTGGCTGAATTTGGGCGTGTAGTTTCGTGTATCGTAGTTTGGCATGTTCTCTACCCCATTCCACTCCTCATTTCGTGGTACGCCCAAAACATGGAATATTTTATGTAACTGATCAATTTCAGATTCACCAGGAAATAGAACGTGATTCGTGTACAGTTCGTACATGATGCAGGCAAGAGACCAGATGTCAACAGATGAGTCGTAGTATTTGGCACCAAGGAGCAGCTCAGGCGGTCTGTACCACAAGGTCACAATCTCCTGGGTGTAGACTCGAAGTGGAACTGTGGCATTTCGAGCCAGTCCGAAATCAGCCAATTTGACACAGAAGTCGTCAGAGACGAGGATGTTTTGCGGCTTGATGTCCCTGTGGAAGATGTTGCGGCTGTGACAGAAGAAGACGGCCTCAAGAAGTTGACGAGACATTCTGAGAACAGTCTCATAGTCGAGACGGGTTCCAGACTTGATGTTCTGGTTTAGAATTCTCCTTAAATCAGTCTTCAGGTATTCAAAGACGAGATAGATGTCATCCCGCTTGTGGATGACATTCAGGAGTTCTATTATGCTAGGGTGTTTAAGGCCTTTCAACAAAATTATCTCACGAATAGTCGTGGCTGGGATGCCCTCGTCGTCCTTGGATGGACGAACTTTCTTGATAGCCACAATTCGACCAGTCTCCACCTCTGCCGCCTTGTAAACTACGCCATACGTGCCTTCTCCAATCTGTTCTATTTTTTTATATGTTGGTTTCTGCATTTGAGGGTGCTGTACACCAGATTAAGCTTAAATTGGTTTATGCAATCGTGGTTGATTCTTAATCTGCTTGAGTTCTTCTATTTTGGCTACCTGAGAATTTTATCAAATTTTGCTGCCCCAATGGCAAAGTGCAGAACAACCAACAAGTCACTGAGTATCAAGGATAGATACAACGGAATCAAGAAGACTCCTAAAGAGGGTATTCTCGAGACTAAGCACAAGTATCCCAGGAACGTATTCAAGAAGTCGTATGAGAACAAGATGGTGATCAAATACGCCTTGAAGAATGAGAGAGTTGCGAAAGTCATGGAGAGAGACAACACGCTCGTGTTCATCGTGGATGTGGCAGCAACTAAATCAGAGATAAAGAAGGCAGTCGTAGAGAAGTACTATGCCCCAGTTGTGAAGGTGAATACGCTGATCACGTTCAAGAGGCACGAGAAGAAGGCATTCGTGAAGTTTGCGGAAGAGGGTGCTGCTGTCACAATTGCAGGCAAAGCTGGCATTTTATAACAAACTGAATAACCAATTTGTTTGTTTTGTTTCAACCTTGCATGAATCCAATTGATTATTGATTGAAATGGATTCAGGTCAAATTGGTGCAATTGTTTTATTTGTGGTGATGTTTCTGCTGCTTGGGTGGTCTCTGCTTCTTCTGGTGCTATCGGCCACATCCTCTGAGAAAGAAGAGATGAGAATTCTCTATAATCCAGATGCCAAAATTGTTACGCCTGACATGTATCTCTGACTTAGAGAATGAGCTCAGTTATCTGCTCTGAATCCATTTCAAGCAGATCACTGTTGGCCTGGCCCACTCCCAGAAACAGAATTGGTGCAGATGACGCCAGCATTAAGTTGAATATTTGTCCTATTTTTTCGTCAACTGTATCCACCTTTGTAAGAATAATCGAGTCTATTTCCCTCTTTGGTATTGCTTTGCTGATGCTCCTGTTGAATTCAGATATGAAATCAAGTGAGTCATTTCCAGTTAGTGCTTCTCCTACATAAACTATGTGGTCTGGTTTATTAACGCGTACTATTCGAGATAACGAAGACATCAGCACCTTGTTTTCGTGCATTCTTCCAGCCGTATCAATCAAAACAGCATCGTAGTTCTGTTCTGCTCCCTTTGCTATTGCATTCTTGGCCACTGTTGCATCGTCCTTGTTGTATCCACTTTCGTAGAATCCCACTTTTCTTCCTGCACCTGTGAATCTGTCTACGTGCACCCTAAGCTGCTCAACTGCACCTGCCCTGAACGTGTCACAGGCAGCAATGAAGACTGTCAATCTCTGATCCAACAGCCACTTGGTCATTTTTGCCAATGATGTGCTCTTTCCTACTCCATTTACCCCTACAAAACAAAACACGAATGGCCTCGTTGAATTTCTGATTTTGGCTACCAAATCCACGGTGTCAATTTTAACCAGAATTCTCTGCAATGCTTTTCTTGTTTGCTCCTTCAGCTCCGCTTCAGTGGCCCAGTCTCTTCCACTCAACCTAAACTGCTCTGTTATTCCATCTGCTAATTGTTCCGCATATTTTGGTGTCACATTTTTGTCTACAAGGTGCTCTACCATTTTAGTTCGTAATTCGCCTAGTTCAATTTTCCCTGTAAAAAGTTGCAATGTTTTTCTCGTAAATCGCCCAATTTTACCCTGATCATTTTTTACCGCACTTTCGTCCCTGTTTCTTTTGAATTCTTCCACTTTGGTATCCAAGACGCCTTCTTTGGCGCCAATTGCCAAATAAATCAGGTCTCCTTCAATCCTCCATTCTGCCACCATGTCTCTGACTCTCTTCTTCTCACTCATCTTTGTTCTGTCCATTTTGACAATGAAATCATTCAGGTAGAATGGTGCAGTCCCCTCTTCGTGCCACAAAAAGCCCCTTAGATCAAAGACTGCGAAATAATTTCCATGGTGATTTGCCATGGGGCTCATAAAATTTGTTAGGTTAGTTTCATGCATTCAATCCCTTCTTTTCTGATTGAATTCAACAGGGCGTCTATAACCGTGGCTGTGTCTAAGGTTGCGCCACAAAGGACGAAGTCATAGAACAGTCCCGCATCAATCAATATTTCATCTAATTTCGTCACAATTGCCTCTCTTATTATTTTATAATCCTCATTTCCTCTTCGTTCTTTCTGTAGGCGGATATCCCAGTATTTCACCTTGAAGAACGTGTCTGCCCTTTTCTGTTGCATACGACACTCTTTTTCGTGCTGGTTGATATGAACAAAAATACCATCGTGCTCGTAAAATGATTCTGTCATTGGGGCTAATGAACATTTAAATTTCACTTATAAAATTCCCTCTTCTGGTCAAAATAGAGTGACGCATACGTGTTAGTTGTCTTCTTGTACTGCTCAAAATACTTAGCAGTTATCTCAGAAAAGCAGCTTAGATCCAGGTCATCCATGGCACGAACCAGGTCGTCTCCATTCACTGCCTTCCTGGATTCCTGTGCTGCAATGTCCTTGGCCTTTGCTGTCACAATCGCAATGAACTCAGATGCCGATTGCTGCACGAGTGCCTTGGCCTCCTTGGATATCTTCGCCACCTCAGGCACAGATGCCTTCATTATTTTTGACACATTTGCAAGGGGTAGCAACCTGTCTTTGATCCTCAATTCCGTCGGACTCTCCTTGTCCTTGCCATTTAAGCTTAAATCACCCCCAAAATCCAACAATCCAAATTTACCAGTCCCAGCCCCATTCGTCATAGAGAATATCTTGCTGCTGTTTTCCAGCATTACGCCGCCTCTCTCCTGCTGTTCCACCAGCTTCTCCTCCAAAATGGCCAGCATCTCGTCCAATCCGTTGTTTTGTTTGTTTAAATTCTGCATAAAATATAAAACAACCTGATTTAAATATTCGAGAATGAAACTGGTAAGTTTTAGGAGAATTGTTCTGACAGCTGCTTCTTCCACTCACTCTCTACTGCACTCGATGATCCCATCCACTCTCAGTAACTGCATTACTGCGTCAAATGCACTCTTTATTGTCTGCGACTTCACTTTGAATGCCTCGCTTACAATTTTATCCATTTCGCATATTTCCCCTGTAATTCCGTTTATTCCCAAATTGAAGTTCCTTGTTTCCTTCTGCTTGTTGTACAACACGCTCAGTAGCTCCAGCGTGTTCTCTGCACCACTGTTTGTTGCCAGAATGCTTGGAATTGACTTCAATGCCTCTGCTACGCCACTTCTGACTCGTGTCTTCTCTCCTTCTCCCAGTAAGACTGCCAAGGCCATTTCAGTTGCACCACCTCCAGTAAGCACCGTGTCTGATTCAATCATGTTTCTAGCCACTTTTACACCATCGTAGAAGTTTCTCTCCAACTCATTTGCCAGGTCTCTTGTTGGTGCTGCTATCACGACACTCACAGCCTTTGGCTCCTTGCATTTCGTAAAAAATGAGTAGAAAGTTTCTCCAATCTTTTTGTACTCGAATAGCCCACAGAATCCCAGCAATTTCGATCCACTTTCTGAATCAAATTCATCCAGGTTACTCAACACAGTCGATCCAGTCGCCTTGGCCAGCCTGTTCATGTCTGACTTCTTGAATCTACGTAAAGCCGTAATATTGTTCTCTTGCATAATGGATAATGCCAAATCACTTATTCCTTTTTCACAGAGAACCAGATCTGCTCCAGTTGCTTTTATTTTGTCCACCATCGCTCTAACTTGCGTCTCCTCCTTCTGTAGCATCTTCGTGAAGTCGTCTCCATCACGAATCTTCACACTCGTGGCCGTCTCACCCTTCTTGTACTCAAGTCCGCATCCAAGCATCAATACCTTGGCTTCCTCTATTCTTCTTCTCATTTGTGCGTGTATGATGTCCTTTTCGATGATAATTCCATCCAAAACTTGTGACTCCTTGAAGTCACCGTTTATCTTCAGAATTGATAAATTATGCTTAATATCGCATAAAATAGGCCCATTTTCATCCTTGATTTTCTTAGCTGCCTCTACGGCCATTTCCGGAATATTCAGCCTGATCACAGTGCACAGTTTGGTCGAAACTGCACTTCTCACAACCTGAAGCACGTCTGCCTCCTCCTTTCTGCCCAGCCCATTCAGATTCTCAATACACTCATTTTTTACCCTAGTCAATTCACGACATAGGCGAATTGGATGCATTTTGTCCAATAATGCGACCATTTTGTCCAATAATTCTGCAGCCAGAATTATCACCGTTGTTGTTCCGTCTCCACACTCCTCGTCCTGTGTCTGACTCAGCTCAATGAGGCATCTTGCACTTGGATGCCCCACATCCAACTCGCGTAAAATGCTGTTTCCATCATTTGTCATTTCTACCGTATTTATCTTCGTAAGCACCATCTTCTGCATCGCCCTTGGTCCCAGACACGTCCTAATCATCCCACAAAGCATCCTCGATGCATGTACGCTCGACTTCTGCACCTCATTTGGGTCTGTCTTCGTCAGAATGTACGCCTTTGGCTGCTGCTGGTTCATGGGCTAAAACTTTGCTGCCTTTTCCATTTTGGCCCATCCAAATGTTTGACCTGCATGAACACATTGGTTCCAAAATAGAAGCATTGGATGCGATATTGAGGAAGATGGATGCATCTGGTGGAATGGATGCAGCTGATATCATACAAACTGAGATAGATGAGCTAAAGAAGATGTGTACAGCATATGAGGAAGAGAGGGAATCAAAAACAGTCGTGAAAAAAGAGGAGGACGTGTTCAAAACGCGATGCTACCTGAAAGACGGAAGTGTGTACGTCGCAACCAGAAAGCCAGCCAAAAACTACAAATACCTGTTTGACAGGGACACAAAGGCCATCACGTACGAATTTGAGAATGGGCAGGTGGAACGGACATTTGTAGGCGGATTCAAGGAAATCAGACTTCCTGATGGCAGAATCTACCTGAAATTGGGCCCAGGTGAATACGACTGTATTCTGAGCAAGAAATAAACTATTCTGACTGAAAGAGGCTTGTGAAGCCGCCTGACCTGAAATCGTCGCCCATTTGAACCAGTGCGATTCTGCCGTCTTCTCCGCCAGTCGCAACCTGCTTTCCGTCCGGTGCAACTGCTACGCTGTTGATTGGGCCGATGTGGGCGTTGTAGAAGCCAACTCGATGCGTGGTGACGATGTCGTAGAAGCAGGTGTCAAACGTTGATTTGCCCTTTGTCGTGGTCACGTCTCGTGCATTGATTCCGCCCCCGGATATCACAATGTCATTTGTGGGGAAGATTGCAGCTGAATTCACTGGCTCCTCCGCCTTGAACTTCTTCTTCGTCTCAAGGCTTCCTGAATCGACGATTTTTATGGTGGAATCAAGCGAGGACGTGACAAAGAACGATTTGCAGGCACTGGGATTCAGGCTGGTGATTTTGAGGTGGTGTGGCTTGGTTGTGCTGGTCTCCTGGCTCATTGTGCCGTACTTGTGGACTTCACCAATCTCATTTCCACAGATGAAGCAGTCGTCCTTGATGAAACCCTTCGTTGAAGAAACAGTTGGCATAAAGAGTCTCTCTATTTTGTTCGTTCTGAGATCAACTCGACCGATGTAGCCCTGAATTCCCATTGAGTTGTCACTGGCGATGTAGAGGGCACTTTCTGATCCATCAATGGCTCGTACGATCGAATCAGTCTCCAATTCAGAGAGCATTTTTCCAGTCAAAATGTCCCAGGAAACCAGTTTGGTGTCGGATGAAGCAGTGATCAGGGTGCATTCGAGTGGAAGGAGCGTGTTGACTGCACCACCGTCTCGTTCAAATGTCCCAATCACCTGACCATTTCTGTTTGTCATTGTTGTGATTGCATCCTGTGAGCATCCAAAAATGAAGTCACCATCGCTGTTGTATTTGATTTCCCTAATTGGCTTCTGATTCAGAGTTATCAGGTTGTGAGTACTGGGAATTGGCTTGTTAGTGGCTTCCACTGCTTCCATAATGGGTAAAAATTGTGCAGAATTGATCTGATTGATTATGTGTGTCATTTGTGCTCTTTTTAGGTTGAGTGGCCGAGTGGTCTAAGGCGCTACCTTAAGGCGGTAGTCTAGTAATAGGCGCGAGTTCGAATCTCGTCTCAATCACTTTTTGTAATCGGTTGTAATGCATAATAATGTGTTATACATTTGTGGGTGAGTTTCTCAAGTCTTCCATCGTAGACGAGCGTATCCAACAATGTCTCAATTTCATCCTGGGTTATTTTGATTTCGAGAATTTTGTGTTCAATCAGGAAATTCTGCACTTCTAAGATCGTAGGCAACTCAGCCACGCCACATAGCTCAACGTAGCGATTCTGCCTCTGTAACACAAATTTGTAGATTATTTCCATCAGGTTGTTCACAAACTCAAGATCCACGTCATTGTTGTTGAACCATATTCCGCCTGTGACTTCTTCATCTGGCTCCAATCCGTACAAAATGTACGTCTTCTTGTTGCTGTTTACTGATTTGATGCTTTTTATTGTCTGTGTTTGTTCCAGTTTCTTCAGAATCTTCAGAAGGTAATTGTGTGGAATATTCGTCTTAGTTCTGATGTCACGCATCCAGATGCCCTTTGTTCCAGCTCCCTTGACTGCCTCTATGACCAATCCCTCTTGATCGATCTTCCCACTCTCCTTGATGCTGTAGTGGAAGATAGACCCAACTTGATTTACTTCAACTTGCTCCATGTTGATCAATTCATCCAATATGACAGATAAATCAACTTTGGTTAGTCCTGGAAAGTGTTTGAATATCATCTTCTCTGTTGTGACGTCATTTTCCTTAATGAATTCCAATATTTTGCTTCTGTTCATTGGGTTTAAAATTGTGATGTCTTCCTTGGTGTCCGTGTATTCGCATTATTTGGTTAAATTCACAAAGCAGCTTGCACAGCTCAGTCTAAAAAGTCAGGCACGTGAAGTTGGACAACTTTCAGTTGCTGTTGCTGATTACTGTGGCATGTCCTACAGAATTCATGAAATATTTGGAAACCAGGCTGAGTATTTTTTGATGGATTCTGAGCAGGAAGTATTTGATAGCACGGTCTATGATGTTTGTTACGTGTTATTATTCAATAATCAGCATGTTGATGCTCCAGGTGGATCAATTGTGGTAGAATATAGCAGATTTGGTCAATCTGTGAAATATCAGGCATCCAGCTAAACAATTGATTTGGAAAAGAGTGTCAGGAGAACCCTCTTTATAAACGGATCCTTAAACACGTTCTTGGTGATTGAGGTTATCGAATGGAAAAGTAGATCAGTAAGATTCAGTAGATTCTCAGGCGGAATTGATCCCTTGTGCAACTTTCTGAGAGTCAAATAAATCTCCTGTATTGTTTCTGTGTTAAGATCACTATAGAAATTCTGCTCCAAATTGATTTCATCAGCCTTATTGTATTGATATGATGGGTATTCGTTAAATTGCAATTTAAAGCAATTGAATTTCCTGATATCATATTTCTTTGGCATTTTACAGTCCAAATCAAGAATGATTAAAGCCCTGTTTGCTCCCAAGTCATTGATATTGGAGATGTTGATTTGTCTTAGAAACAGTTTAGCGATGTGTGTGACGTACCTGACATCATTTGTGTAAATGATCACTTTGAAGTTCCTATAATATTGCATTACAATATTGTTATTTTGTGCTACTCTATAATCAATGATATTGAACATATTCAAAATGATGATTAAGCACTTCAGGTCTGGTGTTATTTGATCAATCTTGAATAGTCGTATATACTCTGATAGGTATTCATCAATTGTTTCAGCAGATAAATCGTATTTTGATTTGTAAATCCAGTCTTCTTTCTTGGTTGCTTCTAATATCATAAAGTTGTTGTGTCCCAAATGGTTTCTTTCTAAATAACCTGCAATCAAATAGAAGCCATCTTCTAAGTTACAGTGTGAAATTCCATTATAAATCATGTTTCTATAATGAATATTGTATTCGTATGTGTAAATCACCTCTTCTAAATACAGAGATAACTTGTTTTTGCAGGTGTCGCAATAATTTTTTGTTTTTTCATGATTTTCTTTGAAAACTCTATCATTTTCTGTAAAGTAGAATGTTTTTGTGAGAGTTGTCATGAGAATGGTTTTGTTGGGACAAGTATTATTCCCACATATGTAATTCTTTGTATGAAGATATTGATCTGGGCCATTTTCCAACTGTTTACCTGAGTATTTTTCCACTGTAACTTCAATGAAAAATAACTTCTTTTGATTGACGTAGTGATTATCGCATGTGACACCATTTTGGATGATTTCTCGTTGTTCTAGAATGACTGGCTGAGTATTTAGTACTGTGAAACCAGTAAAACTCATCGTAAAATAGTATACCGGATTAACTGTAAGCTGGTTGGACATCTTGTGATTATTAGCTGTAATTGCTTCTATATTAGTATAGTTGAGCCAGCCCAATACTTTTTTGATCATGTTGTTGAGAAACCTGTTTATCGTTATTGTGGTTTGATTAAGGTTGAGTAATTTTCTGTATTCAACAGGATACTTATTGCATAAATGAATATAGTCAATCTTAATGCAAAAGTTAAAACGTGATAGAAACATCAGCTGATCTCCGAGTGCCATATTGATGGTGTGTAATATGCTACTCTTGTTATCAATCAGTATTTCAAGGTACACACCATCATCAGTTGAACTAACTGAGTTGATTTCTTCTTCAAATAGTTCTTCAACATGCATAAATCACAAACAAAACTGTATTTATGCTTTTTAAGCTTATTTTACCTTATGCAAATTCATACAAACAAACCCCCATGCTTGAAATAGATTTTGCAGAACCAAAGTTAGATATTCTCAAGATGCTCAGTACATCATTTCAGACTAAAGATCACACTGCAATAGAGAAATACCTCATTGAAAATGGTGCAAGTGCATTCTACGATAAAATGGTTGCCATGAATCTTCTGAAATCCAACAGCAAATTACGTAAGAAGATTGAAGCAGCCAAAGAGCAGAAGCTGAATGAAATCAAGAACAAGAACAGAAATGAACTGGATACTGAAGATGCCATTAAAGACTACATCAGTTTCTATGCCAAAGCATTTGACTTGGATAATTTCAAGAGCAAGGTAAATGAGTTGCTGGAAATCGATAGATCGAACAGTCTGCTTCTTGACATCCAGTTCTGCTTGATTAGAATGGCATTGATTCTGGGAGACAAGAAGATGCTTCATGAAAACATCGAAAAAGGCAAGGATATCGCCACTGTCTCAGATTGGGACCGAAAAAACAGATTCAAAGTTTATTTGGGTCTCTATTCGTTACAGAAGGCGAAATTCAGGGAGGCTGCTGATTATTTCTACGACTGTCTTGCGTCGTTTGAGGCCTCTGAGACAGTTGAGTTCGAAGAAATCATTCTCTACCTGATTTTCAGTGGCCTGCTCTCGTACAGCAGAAATGAGCTGGAAAAGAAGGTGGTAAACAACTTCGAAGTGTTGAAATTCAAAGACCTGATCAAACTGCCTGAAGCATTCTACAACTGCAGTTACCCCAAATTGTTTGACAACTTGCTTGAATTTGTTTCGAGATTTGAAAATGACATTTTCATTGGGGACTACAAGCAGTTTTTCACCAAAGAAATGGTCATCAAAAGCTACGCCCAGTTTCTCCTCAGCTACCAATCGGTGCATCTGAAGGCAATGGCCGATGTGTTTGGAGTCACCGAGAGATTCCTGGAAGAAGACCTGAGAATGTTCATCATCAGTAACCGCCTGAACTGTGAAATTGACAAAGTGGACAATTTGATCGCAGTCAAAGGCATCGAATGCACCAGAACCCTTGAAAACGAGTTTGTCCTGTCACATGAAATTATGAAAGATGTTCGAAAATACATAAACAAATAGTTAATAAGGAAGAGCCCATATGCCTGAGGATGAAGTAAATGGTAAGCTGAATTTATTGAAGATGATAACACTACTTTGTGTATTACGAGCGGTGCTAGGGAACATAAATGAGCATGGATTGCTAATGAAGATACCATTTTCATCAATAGAATTGAAGGAAGTTGAAATCATGGTTGCATTACTTCTGGGTACTGCTGTAACATTCAGACTCCTCTTTCTGCTAACTGACCATAAGAGACTCTTTGCATTGATAGGAGTCGCACACTTTTTGACCATCACATGTGTAACCTGTAAAACAATCAATAATCCAAAAGCAGCAGCCACAATTTACACCCTCACAATTTGGTATGGGCTCAAACTCGTTTCTATTTTTATGAATAGGAATAGAATAAGCAACTCGAAATTCATTCGATTTATGTTTCATCCAACACTGGTGTACAAGAACAGGTTCAGGTTGAAGAAAAGAGTCAACTTCACGGCTATTGCATGCAAGACAGTTCAAGGAGTGCTCTCTTTGCTGGTGCTTCTGATTTTTATAGACCAATATGGAATGCCAACACTCTACAAACTGGTGGAAGCCAGAAGACCACTTGAATTCGCCGTATGCTACTCTGATCTGGTATTCTCGACCATAACACTGTTCTACCTGTATTTCCAGGCACTGTTTGTATGCTTTCTGCAGGTATGCGGAGAGTGCTCTCGATTTGACGAGAAAATCTACTTCGAATGGTGGAATTCAACAAGTAGCAGGGAGTTTTGGTCCAAGTGGAACATGCCTGTTCACATTTTCATCAAAGAGCAGATTTACAAGCCACTTCTGAACAGGAATCACAGTAAGGCCACAATATTCTGCCTATGTTTTCTAATCAGCGGCATTATGCACGAATACGTGCTATCCATGACCATGCGACGTCCTTGTGGCCTCTTCTTCGCTGTGATGATCCTACAACTTCCATTTCTGATTGTGAGTGATTTCGTACAGAAATATTCTCGAAACCTGGGCAACTATTTCTTCTGGGTGAACTTTTCGATAATCGGCCAGCCCGTGGTGCTGATTCTGATTTTCAGGTCAGTTTACAACCAGTAGAAAATTGCCCCTGAATGAAAACATACAAATTGGAAGACTTCAACAACAAGGATCACAGGGACAAAATGATCCAGGCATTCAACAAGGCAGTGGTAATACCAACAGAAACAGTCTATGGATTAGCAGGAAGAATAGACAACGAGACTGCTCTACGAGACATTTACACAATCAAAGGAAGAGCATCAGACAATCCACTCATTCTCCTGGTTTCAAACAGAAAGATGCTCAAGACAGTCATCAAAGGTGAGATCCCGCCCAAATATCAGAAACTGATTGATCTGTTTTGGCCTGGTCCACTGAGTCTCATTTTCATGGCAGATGAAACTCTGAGTTCAACTGTACGCGGATCCTCTTTGAAGACCGTAGCCATCAGAATGCCTGAAAACAAGACACTTTTGGAACTGATTGACGTGATTGGTGTTCCATTGGCCGCACCATCAGCCAATACATCTGGTCAGCCCAGTCCTACTGAAGTATCACATGCTCAAAATGATCTAAAGAACAAGGTTGAGACGTACATTGATGGTGGAAAGTGTTCATTTGGGTTGGAATCAACTGTATTCATGGGACTTGGTGATGAAAATGTCATTTTGCGACCTGGTTCAATAACACCAGAACAAATTGAAATGGCACTGGGTGAAGAAGTGAGAATCAAAAACAAGGCAGATGGCACCGTGGTGATTTGTCCTGGTACAAAATACACCCACTATTCACCAAAGGTTGATGTGGTGCTCTTTATTGGATCGAATTGGTTGCAAAATATGATTAGAGAAGTCAATAGGACTGATCAGGTTGTAGGCGTGATGGCATCAGAGGATGTGCTGGATCAATTTGATCAGATTAAAAATGTGAAGATGTTCAATATGGGAAGCAGTGTGAAAATGTGTGCATCAAACTGCTTTAGTGGATTCAGGAAGTTGGAGAACGAGGTAGAAATCATTTTCGTACGTGGATTTGAGCAGAAAGGAGAAGGCTGTGCCATTATGGATCGGCTTGAAAAAGCAAGCAGTAAAATAGTCGAATGAGATGGTGATTTCTGTTACCCCAATGTTCAAGGCCATAAACACGGAGCTAGAAAACATGAAGACCAAAATTGATTTGGAACGGAGCAAAATAGAACAGTTCTACAACGACTGTCTCGACAACAAGAAATACGTTGAATATTTCAGGATGAAGCCAGTTCATGAGGAGAACTTGGATTTGTATGAAATAGGCAAATCAAATCTGCTTTGCCACTACGTGATGGAGCAGAATGTGGAGGAAACAGAGCAAACTGCCGATGAATACGGGACATTCGGCTACAAGGAGCCACTCTTTGAATACATCTACAAACTGGTTGATTGTGGTGAATTTGAAAGGGCTCTTTTTCACCTGAAAAGAGCAGAAAAGAACAAGTGGTCGTCCTACGCCTATTTCGACATCCTGGACACCATCAAATCCAAATACTACAATAGGCCACTGTAAGACGGCCATAACCTGTTTGACACTTCCAAAACGATCAAAACCGTGAAATATTTTACACCATGAAACAGAGGACATTTCTGCACGATGCAATCGAATTCACCGCAATGGGCTCACACTCGCTGGAAAGAGACATCTTCACAGACAGTTTCAGGCCAAGCAAGATGTCAAAGAACTACAGCAGACTCCTTCGCTATCTCAGCTTCCTCATTCGCTACGGACTTCTGATGCCATTCAGACTCGCTCTGTTTCTGCCACTCTTCTGCATTCTGTCCCTCTTCTTTGCCGTATTCAACTACTTCAAGCTGGAAAGAATGGTTGATTTCATGTTTCTGATCTATATGAAGCTATTTGCATTTGTGCTTGGATTACGAACCAAGCACTACGGAAACAAGCACAAGATCAGTGATCCACACGTCTACGTCTGCAACCACACGTCATTTCTTGACTTCATTGTCCTGAGCAGCTACAAGTTCCATCACGCCGTCCTGAGCGAATACCACGGCGGTGTCTTTGGATTCCTCTTCAACTTCATAATCAGCAAAAATGGATCAGTCTGTTTCAAGAGGGCTGAAAAGAAGGACAAGATTGGGCTGAAGGAGAAGATTGTGAAGCACATCAGAAAGAACAAGGCGCCGATGCTGATATTCCCAGAGGGAACGTGTGTGAACAACAAGGCGAGCGTACTGTTTCAAAAGGGAGCATTTGAGTTGGATACGATCGTGGTTCCAGTGGCCCTGAAGTACAAAAAGGTGCTTGCTGATCCATATTGGAACAGGAGGAAACACGGATTTCTTGCTCACCTGCTTTATTTGATAACGAGGTGGCGAATTGACGTAGAAGTCCACTGGATGGCACCAGTGAAGCTGAACCACTGTGAAAACCCGACTTCTTTTTCTCACCGAATAAAAAGGACGATTTCTGAGAGAGGGCAGCTCAAGAACACGAATTGGAGCGGCTACTTCAAGAGCCAGCTGATCCACACCGACCTGGACATCATGAAGGTTGCCGTGAAGAACGTGTTTGTTGCATTACACCAGAACACATTCTTCGACTATCGTCTTCTTGATGCCAAAAACAGGCACGAATATCTCCGAATTTACACGACAAACAAAATTGATAGCACCACCAAGGTGCATTTTGGCTCAGTATCGTACGAGCAGTTCTACAGCGAATGCTGCAACGAGTTTCTGAGAATAAAGAGCCTTCCGAAGCAGAAGAGGGAGCTTGTGCTTGAGAAGATCCTGATCAAGTGCGATGGACTGCGTGAGAACAGAAATGCGTCAATCTGCACATGCATCAACGAATGCACCATTTTGGAATAAACAAAACAAGCATATTTGTTTGTAAACAAACAAAACAAAGAAGAAGGAAAGAATGAGAATGGAATGGCGTCAAAGAGATGCACAATCTGCCTATGACAAATCAGACTGATCAATAAACAAACCTTATAAAAAAACAAACAGAGGGAGCCCTATGATCGGAAATGCATTGCTTCATTTTGCATCGGTTTGGGCAGCTATTGGCAGCTCAAAGAATAATGCGTGCCTGTATTATCCGGAGAAGGTGGACATGTTCAAGGTGGACCAGTTTGCAGAAGGAAAGCTGTCGAAGGCACTGAGAAACATCCACATCGAAGAGTGGGTGAATAAGATCGGCGGCAAGACGGCGCTAGTCATCGAATTGATGTCTGCGCTACCAAGCTTGGCGTGCTTCAAAAGTGCAGTTTACGACTCATTCCAGGATATCGAGGGAATGGCATTGGGAAGCAACAGCAAGACGGATGACGTGATTGGGTTCATTCACACGTCTGCAAAGCAGCAGCACTACTCGATGGAGCAGCTGATCCAGTACACAGCAATAGCAATGCATAACATGTATGGGCTAAACAAATTCACAGGAAACCCAAACAACAAGGATTTGAATAAGGCAAGGGGATTGTTGCAGCTGATGGGTGAGAAGACAAACGCAAGCTACAGGATGATGTACGCAAGTGCTCAAATCACCGAATTGGACGAGTTCAGCTTCAAGACAATCCAGCGAGAGATGAGGTTCTTCATTGCTGAATACTACTCAAAGACAAACCAGAATGTCACAGAAATCAAGAATTTGCAGTTCGTGTCTTTCATGAATACGACGATGAACATGGGATCAGATGAGGCAGTGGCACTGAAAGACTATCTCAACAAGTGCACAGTCTTCAGCGACGTGAAGCTGTGCAACGGCGAGCAGCTGGTGTGCAAGCTGATCAGGCGCGTCCGATACTACGTCAAACTCCACAAATACATCAGATTGAGGTGCCGTGCAATAGCAGTTGTTGTAAATCAGTAAATATGAGTTAGAGTCCTTTCTAATTAAGGTGGTAAATTTTTACAGGCTAAAACAACTCCTTATTGATGAAGCCAGTCAAAAGGGTCTTTGCAAAGGGATTGAGGGCAGTTCCAATCTTCTTTCTTACAGTGTTAGGCTGTCTTGTGCTTCTATACTACAACCAGAAGAGGCTTGTCACCGAGGTGGTGGCCAGTCCGTCTGAGGAGCGCTCTCTCTTCACAATCACAAGAAGACGGTGCCATGGGACACTCGAGAGGCAGCTGGTCTTCAGCTTCATGAACAAGACGGAGACGTATGATTTGTGTGGACTCGAGGCAGAGAGCAACCATAGAATAAAAAAGGCGATATCGAGGATCGAACGCGCATGTGTTCATGGGCAGGTGAGGGGATTTTTGTATCCAAAAATGCACCGTCTGGTTCTGAGGGAGCAAAACAGAAAATACGAAGGACGATTTGCCCTGAAAAATATATCAATAGAAAAGGCAATTGAAATTGGACCAATTGAGATACTGAGGAACTACGTCCATTGGAACGAAGGAGAGGTGGAACACACAGTTGACGACTTCATTGGGGATCTGTCGATGTTCATCAAACAGAACGTGCTCTATGGCTGGTTCAGAATAAACGGAAACATCTTTACGGCTGGGACAGAGGAGAAGCAACGCGTATACCGTGGGGATCTCTTTAGAGTGTTTTTGGGAATGGATGGCCAGGAAGTACGAGACACATTTGGAGAACAATATGCAGTAGGAGGAATTGTATTGGATGACGCAATAAAACTAGAATTCAATGACGTAATATTGGTTATAAGGTTCCCAGTGGAATACAAGGCGGAGTTGAAGACGAAGAAGGGGTTCTACAGCTCGTCAAAGATGGATTTGTTGCGCAGGAACGAGTTGGATACGATCAGAAACGACGTCTTCAAAAAGGAGCTGATTGAGTACCTGAATGTGTTCAAGAAGTCTGCATTTCTGAGAAGCAAGAGGCTACTCAAATTCAGGAGGCGGTTTGAGATACAGTTTGGATTCACATTCATAACGGCACAAACCACGTCATTGCAACCAGTCACCCTATTCCACTACGTTATACCAAACAAGAACATTTCTAACTTAGATTGTATTGAATAAAATATTAATTATAGTCTGCTACTTCTTGGTGTACTTTCTACTGTCTTTTCTGCTCAATGTGGACTTGTTTCTGTTTCCTTTACCTCCTTCCCAAAATTGACTGCTTTTCTTCTTCAGACTCATTCCACAGTCGCATTCTGCCTTTATGCCCTGTTCCTTGGAACAAAGGCCACAAACCATTTTATTGGCGTATTCCATCTCGTGATTCGTATCCTCGTTATGGCAGACGTCACAGGGATACAGAGATCCACAGCATGGGAATCGAAACCATCGATACGACTTGGGATAGTGTTTACATGTTCCCTTCTTGGGAAGCTCCTCTCCTTCTTTGATTGAAACCTTCTTTTGCTGAATCCATGAAATGCCACCAACGTGGAACCTGAGCTTTTTATGGCACTGGAAACAGTTTTGACTGAAATACGAGTTTCTGGCAATTGGTGTTGTCTCGTAGCATTTGGTGCATTCTTCACACATGAATTGATATTTGTTCTTATCAAAAAATGCAGCAGAACACCCCTTTAGGTGCATAAAACCAAGATGATTCTGACTGTAAACTGGAATGTAGACGAACTCGAGAGATTGGTTGCACTTTGAGCAGCTGTAGTCATCGTGACCACTCTCCAAATCCAATACAACCTGACATCTGTTGCATTTGGCCTTAATATTGATTCTCTCAGCCATAAACATCAGAATATTCTCTGTTGACTTTTCTATTTTCACATTTGGAGTCACTGCGTTGTTTGTGTTGAATTTGTAGCTCTTTAACGCAGTCATCGTCCTACTTTTCTCTCCGTTTGATTCTGATTCTATACTTGATTTCCTTACTGTGGTGTCCTTTTTCACATCTGAGTCTTCTGGTTTCTTTCCAGAGCAGAATGTCTCCAAATGCTCCTCTAAGAAGTTGACGTATTCCAGTAGCTCTCTATCAGAATATTCATTCATGTTATCGATTATGTTTTGTGGCACCTTCCCTATGACTGCCTTATAGTTCAATTCTGGATTGTATGCGACATATAGCCCATCTAAATCGTATATGAAGTCCCTGGGTACATTTAGTTCTATCCACGCCTCTTTTTCCTTCACAAATATGCTGTTTGTTATTCTCAGTGTCTTCATTTCAGGTAAATCAAGCATCCTATCGCTTGTCATTGGGGATGCTGTGGTAAATTTTTCGATTCCACTTCGTTGATTCCTGGCCCTATTCATTTGCATAATCTCAGTATTTCTAGTGGAATATTTTTGTAATTTTTAGCCTGGTTTATGATGGACTTGCTTAAAGAGAAGGTGTTCAAGAAGTTGAACAAGAACAAGACCAAGGCAGAAATCAGGATACTGCCAAGAGATGAGGTAGAGTATTTCTACATGGATAAACACGATAAGATGAACTATACGAGAAGTAGACTCTCTCAAATGGAATGTGATTTCTTGGATGTAGCAGGAATCAATGAATTTGTCTACGATTTCAGTGATAGAATGAATGAGAGTGAATTTATTACATTTGGTTGTATCACATCTGCAACTGGTGGAACCTTAGAGAAAAATGATATTCATTTTCAGACAGCTCGGGACATGAACACGCTCTATAAACTAGATCTGAGCATATTGCCAGAATATAGTGTATTTAATGGACAGATGGCAGCCATAAGATGCAAAATGACGGAACCTGACACATTCAGTGTCAGCAAGTTGATGATTCTGCCTATTTTTGAGAAATTCGAGGAGTCCAAGGGTGACCTCGATTTGGTCGTAGCAAAGGGCCCATTTTCAGAAGAATTCATTGAGAAATTGGTTGATTTGAATACGCAGATTGTTGTGCTACTTGGACCATTATCACGCGAATTCAGGCCATTTCAGGAGTTCACTGAGATGCTCACAGAGAAATTGCGTAAGAACATGCACACGAGGATGCTACTGGTGCCATCAGCTGAAGACATGGAATTCGTACCAACATTCCCACAGTATTCCATGGAAACAGGAAGTGACAGAGTCCTCTGCCTGACAAATCCAGCTGAAGTGGTCGTAAATGGCCACTTGCTTGCATTGAACAACTTTGATGCCCTGTTTGACCTCTCAACCAACGAATGCTGCCATATTCCATCAAATCCGACTCATGGCATGTTCAAAGGAGACCGTCTCAAACGGCTTTGCTTTCATCTGATATTTCAACACTCATATGCTCCAGTTATGCCATCTCAGTTTCCAATTTGCTACTGTAGTGCTCTACAAATGCCAGTCTGTCCTGATCTATACATCACTTCGTCACATTACGGTGCATTTGATAGGCCTGTTGGACCATGCAATGTCATCAACACGGGTAAGGAGTCTTCCTCCTACTACACCGTTTTCTACGGCAGCAACACCTACGAAATCAGGCAAAATCGGATACAATTTGATGCAGAAAAATAAATTTTTCCACCACTTTCATGCTATTGGTGAATGAAACAGAAGAAGCCGAAATCAAATTTGTAGAGCAGATCAATGATACAGGAGATAGTGTGTTAGATGACGCATTGCGTGCAGCAGAAGCACACAGACGAATCAGATACAACATCCAGAAGATGCTGAAGCCAGGATGCTCTCTAAAGAAAGTGATTCAATATGTGGAAGAATCCACCAGAACAATGCTCAAAGGCGAGAGAAACAACGGTATTGGATTTCCTTGTGGAATCAGCCTGAATCACGTGGCTGCCCATTTCAGCCTGAATCCCTGGAATCCTGATATTTTGCTAGGGGAAAAAGATGTTCTGAAAGTTGATTTTGGTACACACGTGAATGGTCGCATCATTGACTCGGCATTCACTGTTTGCTACGATGAGAGATACGAGAAGCTGTTGGAGGCATCTCGTGCTGCAACAGAGAGGGGAATACGGGTTGCTGGAGTGGATGCAGCAGTATGTGAAATAGGAAGAGAAATAAGCGAAGTGATGAGGAGTTTTGAGTTGGAAGAAGGAAACAAAGTTATTCAAATTAAACCAGTTTGGAATTTGAATGGCCACTCAATTGGGCAGTATAGGATACACGGTGGCGTATCAATACCACAGCACAACAATGGAGACTGTACGCGAATCAAGGAGGGATTCATAGCAATTGAGACATTTGCTACCACAGGAAGAGGAGAAGTCAGTGACTTTGGAGAGTCTTCCCATTTCATGCTAGGGAAAGAAAGTGGTAAGAAAATATACAGCAAGAAGAATGAGGATGTTCTGAAGATGATTAGGAAGGAAGTTGGGACACTTCCATTCAGCCATCAGCATTTGGACCACTTTGCGAAGGATACGAGGACGGCAGTGCAGCTGCTGGCTGCCAGGAAGTTTGTTGATCCATATCCACCACTGGTTGATATCACTGGTTGCAAAGTTGCCCAATTTGAACACACTGTTTATGTGACTGAAAGAGGAAAGACGGTCGTATCAAAGGGGGCTGATTGGTAGCTGTTTTGGATAAATTGGACCCTAACACTTTCGAAGAGCACTTCTTTTGGCTACGCCCATTTCACACTCGCTCACCTTCGTAGCGAATCTAAGCGTACAAAGTGTCTCATTCTCACACGATCCATTCACATTCACAACCATCACGACCCTGGAGTTCTCAGAAAGATGCGGCTGCATCACGCGAGTCAGCATGGAGTCCCTGAATGGAACGTGGCTCTCCTTTCTTTTTATTGCAGCAAACACGTTTCCAAGTGAACTCAAACTGCTGTTTATGCATTGGGTTTCCTTAAGGCGCTTGTCTCTGACTCCACTTTGGGAAATTCGTTCAGATCCAGCCAAATCCACTAGGCACAGTGCACCACGAACGATCTCATTCTCCTTCTGCATCTCAATCTCCAACACAAACAGCGCATGTGACCTGCTTGACGTCTCATTGCAACCTGTCCTGGCTGTTGCCCTTTTTAGCCCAGCCTCCTGCATTCTCAGAATCAGCTGATCCAATTCATCAATTCTGTATTCCGCCTTGCCTCCAAATAGGTCATTTATCTTCTCGTTGTAGACTTCTACGTACGAAGCAATGCATGTTGCCTCTTGCTTCCCCAGACTACGCTTTATCTTCTGAATACTCTTGTAAATCAGGCCATCTCCATTTCCAAGCATCGTATGCGTCTTACCACTCCCAGTTTGTCCATATGCGAATATGCATAGGCTGAATCCATCCATTACGTTCTCAATAAAGAGATCAAACTCGCTGTAGACCTCACTTTGAGTGGCGCCTGGGCCAAAGACCCTGTCCATTTTAAACGCCTTGTTTTCCAATTGAACCTGTGTGTCACTGTAGCACATTTTGGTTCCTGATTCTGGGTGTATTCTGCAATAAACTCGACAGTTTCCCTTTAGGTCGAGGATCTCGTTCCTCAGCCTCTTCTCACTGCGTCCAATTCGCTCTGCTTCCTTCTCAAGCCACTCATTTTCGTCTCTCAGTCTCTCAACTTCATTTTTGACAGCATCATTCTCAGCTACCTGCTTCTTCAACAACCTGTTCTCTGCCTTGATCTCCTCAACTTCCTTACTGCTGTATTCAATCTGCTCAATTGGTTGCTCAGATAACTCCCGTAATATATTCTGTAGTTCCCTTAAATAGTGTTCTTGCATCTGATGGATTCGTGATAAATATTTGAGATTGTTTCAGTGACTGTTTGTTGATTAGTTCAGTGTATTGAACACGTCATCGACGTCCTCCTTACTCAACTTCCCAGGATTCTTATTCTCCTTGATCATGGCCAGGGCGTAGCTGCTTATGAAGATGCTGAGCTCGTTGAGTGTCTCCTTAGCCTCTCTAGTCGTAGATGTTCCATTTGCAAGCAATTTGCCTATTTTCATTTTCTCATTCATTTCTTCAAAATCAGAGTACATTGGGATGGAATATCATCGGATTAGTATCAGAACAGTCTATGACAATACAGACGCAATCAGGTTGAATGGATGATGCATTCTGATTTCGGTGATGTCAAATGATCAAAAACATTTTAACCCCATGATTGGAAGAGAGACAGGTTACGGAACAAAGGCTATTGGTAAGAAGTACACTGAGTCATACAGGGTCTATGTAACTGAGAATGGGAAGGCAATTTCACCAGTACATGACATAAAACTCAAGGATGGTGATCTATTCAATGCCGTGAATGAGATACCGCGATTTGAAAATGCCAAGTTTGAAATATCAAAGGCAGATTCATTCAATCCAATTAAACAGGACGTGAAGAAAGGAAATGTGCGATTTGTGGCGAACATGTTTCCAGCAAAAGGATACATCGGAAACTACGGTGCATTTCCAGAGACGTACGAGGATCCTGAGAAGGAAGACGTCATTTGCAAGGCAAAGGGTGATAATGATCCATTGGATTTGGTTGAGGTTGGACAGAGAATCAAGGGCATCGGTGAAGTCTACAAGTGCAAAATACTGGGGTGTTTAGCCATGATTGATGACAATGAGGCTGACTGGAAGGTGATCGTGGTTGATTCAAGGGATCCATTGGCAGAAAAATGCAATGACATCGAGGATCTGAGAAGAGAGTCACCTGGGTTACTTGAAACACTTTATGAGTGGTTTAGGGACTACAAGAAGCCAGATGGAAAGGGAGAAAACAGGTTTGGACTGAATGGGGAATACAGAGGAGCAGAATTCGCAAGAGAAATAGTGGAGAAGGCACATGCTAGCTACAATGAACTAATTAAGAGCAAAACAAACAAAATGAGTATGAAGAGCAGGAAGAATGGAGACGAGATTGTTTTGGATAAAATTGAGGAAGACGCAGCAGTGGTGCCTGAAAGTGTAGGAGGGTATTTCTACAGAAAATAATTGGCTAAATAGTGGTCTATCTTCATCATTTGACATCTATAATTTTGTATTAACTATGATTTCTCTGTGCATTGTTTCTATTGCAATTATGACTTCATTATACATTTCTATTGGATACTCCAAGTCGATCACTTTGCTGTCATATGCTCCCAAATAGATCGGAAACTCCTCATTTAGGTCTGATTGCTCCTCCCCATCCTCATTTATGAATGATATTTTGTTTATTTGAGTTGGTATTATGAATCTGTTTGTTAGTTCAAGTGTCAGTACGAAGTTGCCGTCATATTCTGCCTGATTTATTGCTTCAATTTTTAGTGATTTGAGTGCTATGATATAGAGGATAAAATAGAGGCTTGCTACTGCAAACAGAAGCCACAGAAGCCTCTTTACGAACCCAGCACACTGTTTAGGCAGACATAGCCCAAGAGAAAGCAGACATAAACCCATGGGTCTAACAAACAAATACATTAGAAAACAAGACTGTTGACATCTAACACAATCTAATTGGAATACTAGCCATTTATCCGCCTAACAGACACGAGCAGCATGCGCATGCACTCTTTGATTCAGGCACCGTATCATTCTCATCTACATATTTTGCCACAGAAACAAATATTTCGTCGACACCCTCACGCGTAAGAGCAGAGCACTCGTAGAAGCCAGCTGCGCCTATTTCCTCTGAAACCTTCTGCCCCTCTTCCTTAGAAATCAGGTTCTCTGGATCCATGTCCTCGTCCTCCCTTAAGTCCTTTTTGAGCCCTACCAAATAAAATGGCACCCCTGGACAGTAGTTCTTGATTTCCACCAACCATTTCTTGTTGATATTTTCCAGGTTCTTTTTGTTCTCAATTGTGTAGCACAACACAACAAGATTGGTGCCCCTGTATGAGAGTGGCCGGATTGTGTCGTAATCCTCCTGTCCAGCCGTATCCCACAGTGCCAGAGTCACCGCCTTATCATCTACCTGAACATTTTTAATAAAATTATCCACTACCGTTGGAACGTACTCTTTTGGAAACTTATCGTTCTTGAAGACCTCGAGCAGGCACGTCTTGCCACACGCACCATCCCCAACCACAACAACTTTACCCGTTTCCCGCGTAGCCATTTCCCCTTACTCAAAAATCAATTTATTAGGGAAACAGCCAATCGAAAATACTTACTGATAATCATGAAATAACTTTAATATGCGATCTGGATTCTTGAAACAAGATCCTGTATCCCGTCGTAAGTGATCTCGTCTTCATTCTGGACTTCAAGCAAAAATGGTATTTCAAGGGTGTCCTTGATTGCCTGTACATTTGTGCTGTAAACCATTTTAACAAGATTCTTGCACCCATCAGGTATGTACGAAATCAGTATGATTGAGGACCTGAATGTGTCTTCATTGACGTAGTAGCCGAAATCATAGACTGCGTAGAATGGGAGGTCCTTGTTCATGGCAACTTTCTCCATGAATGATTTCCAGGCCTCCTTAATTTCATTTGGTGCTGGCTTTTTGGTAGTGGATGAAATTGCAGGTGCATTTTGCTCTGGATTGAGTCCGAGCGAGACAGGATCCAAATGGTTGATGGCAAAGAAGCAGTAGACGTCCTTTCTGAAGAACACCCTTCTAACAGCGCTCTGGACAGTGTTCCAGCCATCTGCCTTTGTAATTTCACCTAACTGCATATAGGGGCTGTAAAAACAAAAACAAACAATGTTTATGAGCAATTACGCCTTTTATCATTATCGTTTATTCAATTCTGATCTCTCACTTATTCTTTCATAACTAGGGGTATTTTACTACTAATACAAGATACATGAAACAAAGATAATACACCGTGTATAAGGGACTATAAGTATATTTGTCAGTTACCAGATTCTGTAGTAGTTCAGGACAGATGAGTAGAAGCATGCGAACATTAGGATCGAGTAGGATGTGTCTGTCAATGTGTCGATTTGGGGAGTGAATCCAGAATAGGTATTCTGCATGTATTTGATGAAATTACAGTCCGATTTGTATTCGAGGTAGAATGATACGATGAATGCAAATGACGATAGGACCAATGGAAACGTGGATTTGCGTATCACGGGTCTCAACGGTATTGCGACATCTGCAATCAGGAATATCTCAATTATGAATGCGAAGAATGGCATCTTCAGTGACGTAGAGAAGATCGTGATCAGATACGAATACATTCCGACGGAATAGGCTATTTCCTTGGCCACAAATATGTTCGCAAGTGCAGTATTATCGTCGTAATTCATCATCATGTAAATCATAGATGAATGCAGCATTGACATCAGTGCGAAATGGCACACAAATGTTTTCGTGAATATTTTGAATCGTTCCTGAAGCTCACTCATTTCCGTATACAAATATTTTCCAGTTCTAATGAACATGCTTGTGGTCAGGTAGAACGGATAGCAGCTCATCAGAGTCATCAGCAGAAAGATGTGTGCACCTGGATTCGTGTTCTCATCGCGCATGCTGCCTACTATGGTCTGCACAGATGGAAGTGTCTGATTTGTTGCATGAATCACCAAAAACACAAGTAGAGTGAATCCCCCACAAAAAAGTGCTATTTTGTAAAGCAT